TAGGCATCTACTTTAAGAAAAAAATGTACATACAGATGATAGAAATATGATTAGTATAGATTTGTTATAATTACTCGTGAAACCTCCGATCAGTCACCGAAACAGCAGCAATATCCTAAATAAATAATTATGTTTTTTGGCTTCCTCACTTAATTATTTGACGAGGAACTCGACTAGTTTCAAGCCATGCTAGAGGCTCATATTCATGAGCAGCATTCCACGATCCGCGACGTGGCGACAGTCACGCTGCTACTGAGTCGAGTTCCTCGTTAAATAATTACATGAGTAACAAGCCGAAAGACATAATAAATAATTCAGCATCTTCTTCTTAATTTTCAGTGACCTAACTGCGGTTGCCAAGTCGTTCGTTTTGATAGCATACGCCTTCTTCAAAAGAGGTCTGTTAATCACAGTGGATTCCACCTGATGGCAAGCGTGATTCTATCTGTACCTAGCTTCTGCCCGCGACTTCGTACGCGCAATCCCGTTTTCCCCCGTTCCAGTATGATTTTCAGGATATTTTTTCTGGCATAAGAACCTTCTCCTGACAATAAGAAACAAATCAAAAATAAATCTGCCAAATCGATCTAGCTGTTCTCATATATGGCGTGACAACGGGAAACGGGTTTAATTTTTATATATATATATAGATGAGATGACGATACTCACTTAGTTTACCTTTTAGTTACGTGTACCAGTAATCTAGTCGTGATTATTATTAATGGGTGTGAGAGACGGTGAGATAGGTCAGTTTATAGAACGATTTAGCAATATTGTGTGAATTCTGATTATAAACAACTTGGTAAGACTTTAGTTCTTAAGTCCAAATAGTCGATTTGAAATTATTTGACGGAGTGTCGATGATTGGTTGCCAATAGGTACATTGCTTATTAACCAGCGAGATAATTTTTTACACCCTGACTGATGATTCCGTTCATAATGAAGAAGCGAACGGACGCAGCGAAAAAGTATTTAAGTAAGTACCTGATTCAAGCTTAGCTACAGATTTAGTCATACAAATACAGTAAAAGAAAATATCTACTCATAAGTATTGTGAAAATTGTAATTCAAAATATGAATCCTATTGAAATTAATTCAAAACTAACACAATTATCGTTGTTGAATTGCCGAAAAGACAATTTTTGTGTTACACGATTAGCATGCATTGCATTCCATACGTAAGCGCATACGTCAGCTTTGTATTGAATCTGAAATATAAGTATTTATCGATTACACCAATCGATTATAATATATTATCGATACCTGCCAATTTCCTTATCAGCGGTTACGTTTAAAAAATCTTTATTGCGTAATTTTCCATGTTTGTTATTGAATTGCGAACCGAATCGATTTGATTTAGTTATTATTATATCGATACGAACCTACAAACTGTTCTTTATATCAATTTGCATCGTAATGGTTGGTTGAATCATCGGTTATATGAATATTAGCCAATAATGTAATTTTCATTATTTATGAGATCATTAATAAAATAAAATCGACTTCAAAAGGTATCTGTCATGATAAAGACCTTTTTAAAAGACACTAAACTCAAGTCTTAATAGTTAATGATTTTGGGAGTTTTTATTGACTGCTGTGTGATTTATAGTATTTAGTGCCACATACACGAAATTAACATACTTCAACGAAACATAGAAGTTATCTCTTCTCAAGATGACAAACATCATTTACATTTTTTTTAATTCATTTTGTATATGTATGCCCACTCTTAATGTTTTGCCTTTGGCCACGTGTAGACTAAAATATATAAATTATACAATTACAAAATATACGACGCCACAAGTGGTGATTGGCAGTGCCCCTGTTAACCTTAGAGGTCGTAACACAGCCGTAGTTAATATTATAGCATGCAGAATTGCAGATACTTATATGGCAGAACAGTTGATTGATTCATCGTCTGGGAATATTTTAAGTAATTACAAGACTTGCCGTTTAATCAATATAGAAAATACTATAAATAATACCCAGGGCTTCCATAGCCTCCTTGTTAACTAGTCTTGTTTGTTGCAGTATCTAAGTCACCAAAGAGCGAAGAAAATAGAACAAGATAGGATCCAGAGTCCGCAGTTCGAAACTAAACTGAAAATGGCGGATGCTGTTAAAAAGTAATTTGGCGCCAAAGTAAAATCCATAGATAACAAACGCATGGTTTCTGGAATAGTCTCGAACGAATGTCATCAGTCAATGCGGTCGTGTGACATCGAGGCCAAAGTAACGAGGGCGCTGTGATAGCAATGCATACCATGGAAAAGTTTACAACGAAAAATAGACAAAATGACACGTAGATTTATAGATTATTTTTGTTTGATTTGATTGCGCTTTTTAGAAGGTTCTGGAAGGATGAAATGAATTAAGGAAGTAGAAATGACTGATTGTAGACAGATTATTTATTAGTTAACTACTTTAGTTAATTGTGTTGTTGACGCAATAACTCAGTAATTCGTCGACGTTACTTTTTTTAAAAAGAAACTGGTATCTACAGTCATATTGAATCCAATTGTAGACTTCATGTTTAGTTTAGATTCAATAATATTTTACCCGACCCGCCAAAATCTCGTGTTGCCGTTAAGTTTATTACGTCATAGACAATGGCTTAATAAGTCAATATTTGATTGGCAAAATATCCACAGTTAATTCAAATTCATAGATTATTATCAATATTATTTGATGATAAAGTAAGAAGTTTATGAAGCCTGTCAGGCTAACATGAACCCTCTTGGAATAAATGGTTGCCCTTGTAAATATAAGAAATTGATGGCAATTGGGAAACCACTGCCACAGTTAAAATTGATAAATTAAATTACATAGATGTTATGAGTTAAAATATTATTGTGATGAGTTATATTGGCTACTATATAGTACTCTCATGCGGTTTCACCCGTTCTGCTCGGCTTCTATTGACTGTAGCGTGATGTCTTATAGCCTTGTGATAGCTTCCTTGATAAATGCACTATCCAATAAAAAAATATTCAAATAGGACTAGTAGTTCCGGAGATTAGTGCATTCAAACAAATAGACAAACTCTTTAGATTTATTTAATAGTAATAAGATTACGATTTGAGACTGATTATTAAATTTTATTTCTATCTTATTGATAAATGAGGGAATTCCTATGCTAAAAAAATTTCTCATATTATTACAGGTTTATTACATTGTTTTACTTTATGGCTTTAAGAAATTTAATTTTAAATTATTGCATGTGTTAGTCTGTGCTGCAAAACAGACTCCTACAACAACTACTTTTATTACAATTCACTGAAGAAATATTGCAATAATGTTGTATATTGTCAATGTTTTGACAACTGTAGGACAATGTTATTGTTGAAGTGTGCTTTAGTTTACATTATCACGTGTTGACACATGTCACCTACATTGTAATTAAAAATTGTTCATTCTTTCATTTTATTGAATTGAATAGGTCATAACAATAACAGTTGAATGATGAACTTTTGTTCTATATTTGAAACATGACAGATTGGAATGTGAAAATAATACACAGTAGTCTATGATTCTTGTTTTTTTTTAATTGTTTCATAGTCAAAGGAGGTAATGTTGAAACTAAGAAATAGCTGGTTAAAATTAAACTTTTTGTTTTAATTAACTTATTTAATATTTATTATTTAGTAATTTGAAACCGAAATTGTTGCCTACTTAACAAATAAGAACTGCATGGTGGTAAAATAAAATTAATGAAAGAATCAGGTCACTGTTACTTGATGCAGAGCTAACAAGCACATAAATTCTTTAGAAAATTAAGGTCATATGAAAGTTGAATATTATATTGTTAAACTAATTCATGTTTATCAATTATTATTATGGAATTTGATTTTTAAATAAACAGATTATTATGAGAACAGGTAGTTAGTTAGGTGTTGAGAAATTTACAAAACTTTTTATAGATCAGTGTTAAGTAAGAGTATAAAACAGTAATTATGTTTTATTACTACATTCAATTTTATTAGGAGACATACATCTAATAGATCTTTATCTGTAAATAATAAACCATAGGGCTTCATGGCCTAAATATTTTTAAAACAAGGTTTACAGGAACTAGGCTGTAGACTACAAATACTGGCGACAGACACGCGTTACGAGTAAAGAGTATAGGCATGATGTGTTCAGAGAAATGGGGACGTTTGCCGGCTGCTCGTCGGCGGACGAATCATAACAAAAGTGACGATTCTTGTTTTCTGTGCCACTAACATCCGATCGCATTACATAAAACACCTCCGTACTACACTCTGGTATTTGAATTAAATGCCAACTTGCACTTGCAGATCGATAAAACATCATACCACAAACGTAAATAAATCATACGGACCTCACCTGCTCATATCGATTTGGCCTGCATGTGAGCTAAGTTAATCGATTTCTGTAATTTACACCCGTATAAAAACTGTGAATATTAGACCTAAATCATAATCTGCATTCATATCACTCCAAACTATACAGAAATATAGATTTACTTACCAAAGTACGCGGAGCTGCAACGATGTCTACACACTAATGCACTGAATTATTTATATTGCACTCTAATTAAACGGCTTACGTAAGTTATTCTAATGAAGATAAATAATTTTACTACTTAGAGGTCAATAAACTATAACAGTAAATTGATTAATCTACGGAAATTGCAAGAAAATATATTATAATGTGCAATAACCTTCCGCAGTGTTTTAGTTTCGCGATGATTTTTTTTCTACAGAAAAATTGTTCACTGGATTGCGCCAGATGGCACTACCTGCAGGTGTTCTTTTGACATTTCAATTTGTATGGCTGCGTTCCATGCAATCTAATTTAATCTTATATTTCTTTAAATCTCAATAACTTTCGCTAAGTGCCAACAGAAAGCTATAGAACTTATATAATAACCGATAATATTTTTATTCCTATATAAAAAGGGCACGTAAACAATAGTCAATATTATTTTCATTGTTTTGTTTTAACGACTTTAATCAGATCGCATCAGAAGACGAAGAGCTTGACAGTTGACATGTGACATTTATATTTATTTGATCAGCTGAAAATTGCGCGCGTTATCGGTTGAAACAGAAATATTGTTAGATTTTAGATAAATCACAAGTGGTTGTTGATCTCAACATGGTACCAAGTGCCAGAACAGCGCGTTTAGTCAGGGAAGTGAAGAACTTTGAAACAAAACCTCCATGGGGAATAGTTTGCCATCCAAGAGAGGAAGATATCTATGATGTCTTGAATTTCTCTTTACAAGGACCTAAAGGATCGCCGTATGAGAATGGATCGTTTAAACTAACTGTTACTATCCCACAGAAGTATCCCTTCGAGCCTCCACTCGTCAAATTTACTACACCGGTGTATCATCCGAACATTGATAAAGGTAAATAAACCTTATCACTTATTTATTTGAACCTGTTGTTATAGCTAAACCTCTACTTCTTAATCACTAGATGTGACCTGTAACAACTTTATTAAAATTGTTTCTGTTCATACTAAATAGAAATATTAAATCATTGTCCGTTTGTCCCTAATACCAATAAGTTTTCAAGAACCCTCATAATTACTTATTAGAATTTACTTGCTTGCAGGTGGTAGAATATGTATGGACATGCTGAAAATGCCTCCTAAAGGGGCCTGGCTGCCTACAATCACACTGGAAACCCTGCTGGTCTCACTGCAGACCTTACTGGCCAATCCCAACCCTGATGACCCTCTTATGATGGATGTTGCCAACGAGTATAAATACAACATAGAGAAATATATAGAAAATGCTAAGAAACACACAGAAAAATATGCTAAAGGCTAAAATTAATTAACTAAACTTTATTGTTTGTTGCAAGAAAAATTTCATGACTATTTTTCATTTGTCTAAATGTTTGTTTTATAAATTCTGTTCGCAAAAAATTGTGACAAATCCAAGCTGTCGGGAGCATCAGTTTTCTTAATATTTAAGAATTTTTATATTGATTTTCCTAACACTTAGCAAAGCTAAGATGAATAATTGTCATTACAAATATTTGTTGCTTACCTTCGTTTCGTAAAGAAAAAAAAGTGGGTAGAAAAGTGATGTGTGAAAATTTCTATAAGTTTTATGTTTTCTAAAAATAAATCTTAGTTTCCTTAAAATAAAGGCTATTTTCGCTTGATTATACTAAGCCACTAGGGCAATCTTGTTTTTAATATTTCTTTCTTTTATCTTTGTGATATAAAATATTGCATTCAACTGTTACATCATGTAAATAAGAGACTGGTATTTTAATAAACATTTCTTTAATAATTTATTATTTTATTTACATTGATTATATTATAATGCAGGTTTACAGATACAGTGTAACTAAATTAACTTGAATATAATAATGTTTAATACATATAATTATAAATTTTTCGAGGCTACTCAACTAGTTTCTAGTCACACAGGGGACCCATAAACATGAGCAGTATGCGCAAAGACCGGATGAGTGTACAAGAGCCACTGGCTTACCTATCCTTATGCTTTTGAGTAACAATGATCATTTACTATGTATTATTTAAAAAAACAGTAAAGATAACTAATTCTGTACAATCTATCTTGATGGAAGACAAATGAGTCATGAAAAAGTACTATAAGTAGAATAATAAATTAATTATATAATCTGGATTATAAAAGATTATCATTTGAGACTAATTTCTACATTCTATCTTATTGATAAATGAGGTAATTCCCACACACTAATATAAAACATGTTTTCATAGCAACAAAATTCATTCAACTAGGTATATATTCAAATAGTTTTGTGACTAACCCTGATGTTTTAACTTCAAACAAATAGTTTATGTTAACTAAAAGTAATGGTTTACTCAGGCAAATAAACTGAAAATAGCTCTATTAGTTTCGAGTCACAGAAGAATTCTTACTTATGAGAAGACTGGGCGGTCGCGGCGACGTCGCGACTAATACACCTAAATCAGTATACTTATGTGAGTAACATAACATCACGCCTTTTTATACCCGAAGGGGCAGGCAAAAGTGCACATTACGGCACTTAACTCGTCGAGTACCGGTTTTATAGACACAATTAAAGAACAATAGGTCGCGGTCACCGGTGACCGCTTGGTGTTTGACAGATTAATGCCACTGTACAATGTAACACCTACTTTTCACTATTTATGTTACAAGTCCCATGTGACAGGGCGTGAGCCTATTGCCATATACCGGGCACAATTTCAGACTCTGTGCTACTACTGGATTTTTTTAAAACCCAGTATTACTTTTCGCGACCTGGGACGATTCCGAGACCCTGTGCCTGGCAGTCGTAATTGCGACCACTTGGCCAATGAGGCAGTCTTAAATGAGTAAACCATTATTTTCAATTAAGTCAGTAACTCTCATGATAGTTATTATAAAAACGTAGTTTATGTTATATTTATCTATGCATTCATAAACTTAATCTTTTTATCAAAGGTTTTTAAAGCACCTGCCTTAATTTATTATACAATGTCCCACACTAGGTTTGGTTTGTGTCGGGAGTAGTAAGAAGCATACACATTCTACATTTAATCTACTGTATACTAAAGCTAGTATAAATTACTATTGACTGCAGTACTCATAATTATTCATTTTTTTTAGCTTATCTTTGGATACGTATGAGTAACATAGTTATGTGTGGCAATAAGCTAAACCTTAGACATGATTAAATAATATTTACATGAATATTTGTACAAGAGGATTCCTTTCAGCCTGTATCGGTACTGCTATCATCACCAGAACTCGCACTTTCTGTCTCCGAAGAACTACTATTTCTTTTCACTTTTCTACCAACAGTTTTAGGGTTTTCTTCACTGGCAACACTAGTGTCCTTATTATTGTTACTCTCATCACTAGTCAAATCTTTTTTCTTTGATTTCTTGCCAGTATCACTGGTGGTAGGTTTTAGTGTTTCTGTGGAGACGGTTGCCACCATTTTGGATTCTGGTCTGGTCTCTGAAGCCTTGAAGTCTTCATCATCGTCATCATCTGCTGGTCTTCTGTTGGCTATTGATGCTGCTACTGCTGACTTGTAGGCTTCAGGGTATTGTGTACTGAAAATATAACAGAAAATTAAACTAGTTTGATATAATAGTTAAAAAATATAAAACATAAAAGTAATAACTATATATTTTTTGAAATTACTGAATGTCACTTTTAAGAGTTGAAAATAAATGTGAATCTATTTGTTTGTTGTAAAGTATAAATCTGATTTTTGTAAATAACACTGAACAAGGAACTTATATTTCTTGTAAAATTATCTATAGACTATGGAATGACAGAAAACACTACCTTAGTTTAGTTTTAATAGCTCTAATCTTTTTGAATATAAACTCCAGATCTTTTCTCATCTCGAGGAGCAGTTGTGTGTGCTTCTTGAACTCGGTGGAGGCTGCTCGGAGACGGCTGGCAGACAACTGGTTGCAGTTTGTTAACATTTCTGTTGTCTTCTCAAAACGTTGCAACCTGAAGTAAATTAGAATATAAATGTAAAAGGCGGGCTAATTAAGTCAATTCTAGATTTCTAGCTTAGACTGCTACTTAAGTATGATGATGTGTTTATCACAACTTTACGAAAACTACAGTACGCATTTGAATGAAATTTGGCATAGATAGATAATAGTAGGGAATAACATAATTATCGGAGGCTACTTTGTACCCGGAATACCTATGTTAATGAAGGCGTTGCCACTGCTGGCAGCTGGCAGAAGGAAGTAACTGAGTCTTGCATTTTTTTACTTTTTCTACGTTTAAAGTGCAAGCTGTCTCTCCGTACAATATAGAAGAAGCTGAATACTATGTTTGTTTCTCAAACTTACATATTTTTCTGAGCTCTAATAACGGTTTCCACATCGTTCTGGTTTACCATTCCTGCTAATCCTTGCACAAATACCTCCGGAGCCGAGTAGTTTTGAAAGCATTCTATTGAGAAATCGCTCTCAGGTGTGTCGTTAGCCATTTTAACACGGTTTTTGTTATAATTTTCTTAAACGGAATCTGAAAGTAAATAAAAATCGATATTCAATACACAAAACATTTGTCACTTTGACAGTTTGACAAATAAATACAAAAATTACAGATTACAAATACCTTTTTGATTAAAGACCATGTACAATGAAGCAAGTCTGACCATAGAGTTTACAGAATGTACACGTATGTACACATTAACACAATATTATGTTAGTTTACCGCGATATGTTATGAGTATGAGAAACAACGAAAGATGGCGTGTGAAAAGCCGTCGTACTCATTCGAAACCATAATGGTTATGGTACAATAACTATTATTTTTGTTGTCTCCACAAATATATTATCCAGTAAACTGAGTGTAGTCTGCATAGAGCATGTAATTATAAAAGGCGGAATAGGTAAAATTACAAAATAATAAGTCTAGTGCCTCAAATAAAATTGATGCATTTTATTATTTAAAAAATTTGGGCAATTTTTCTTACGTCTGGTTACCCATTACACACGCACACATAAATACCCGTTGCTATTCTTGGAACTGATGCCTGATCCTTGCATCTCTAGCTTACTTGATTCAGTAGCGCTCAGTACCTACTGAGTAAAATGGAATTGTAGTATTGTGATAAAAAACCGACAGATGGCATTACGTTACTTATTTATTTGAGAAATACCTATCTTGAATTATTGTTCGTTAGTCTCTTTAAAACTCGAAAACAACCGGACCGATTTGGCTAATTTTGGTCTTGAATTACCTTTGTGGAGGTCTATGGAAGGTTTGAGACATGAGAAAAAAAATATGCCGTAGGTACGAAGTTTGCTGGCTACTAGTACACTTATAATTATACCAACCTAGGCTACCTACAATACTTCTGTAAGGTGGAGAAGGCATAAGAGAACACTTGCGTTGTGTTTTGTAGTGACGTTACCGGAGGCCCAATCTCCGCAATCCCTTTATCCCAAAAATCCTCAAATGCCCAAAAGTCCGGTAATGCACTTGTAACGGGTCTGGTGTTTCAATGCTTTTTGTTCTCAAACTGGAATCGTTTTAGAAAGTATTTGTACAATCAAGAGTAAATAAAGTCGAAAATAAAATAATTGCTTATACATATAGGTTGGTATATAGTATATACCTTTTATAATAATGGTCGCATGGAGCCGCTGGGTTGCAGCCATCCCTTAGCAACTATGATCTACGATAGGAACTACCATCTGCGATATGAGTGTGTCGTCTCATGGAAATTTTGTAACAAAAATTAAGTAGGTAATAAATTAAATACTTTATGACATTTGAATTTAAGTTAGGTAGCTATTTAGGTGGCCAACAGCTGGTGTAGTCCTATCAAGTATCAATGCATGTCCTCCTGAGGTGAAGGTTTTCCAAACACATACCTACCAACAAAACATGCTGTATATCCTCGATCGCTCCATAGACAGTTTCATTCAAAATGCAAACTTTTTGATATAATACACATATTTGGAATACAAATAAAACTCACTAAGCGCTAATCTCTAAGTTTGGTATAATTTAATTAATTTAAGGAGCATTAGGACTGACTTGACCTAAGCCTTGAACTTCTAAGTGGAATGGAACTCCTACTTCTTGATCAAAGTTACGGCGGTAATGTACGTTTCTATTTCTTTCTTCTGTTTCTTCTGCTAATCTGTCTCCCCTTCTTTTTACCTGTTGTTTCGATGTAGGCAAATAAAAATTCAGTAACTGAAGAATATTGTATGGTTTTACGTTTGGTTTCGAAATTTCGTTAAGCAACCACTTTGGTACATACACATTGTTATTGTCTTCGTTATGTGCCAATATTTGGTATTTACCTTTCTTCGCATCGTTCCCACGGTCGTTTAGTTGTCTTTTAATATTGACATAACCGTCAAACTCATCGTCCTGTCCCTTATTGTTGTCCGAGATTAGTTCCTTGATCTGTGTCGCTAAAACGTCCCCATTGTCTACTCGAGTTAAATCAAACACAAGCGCTTCTACATTCGATTTTTTAATGTCCCCTTGTCCATTTAGGAGATTTTCTAAATCAACATTTTTGAGCAACGCTGGACGTTTCAAATTAGATTGTTGCCGCAAATTCGGCGAGTTACGTTTTGATAATAAACGCTCGACGTCCGACATCCCCAGGACTACAGCATCTAAATCGTCACTTAGTTTTATTTTTTTCTTTAACAGATTCGAGTCCAGATTAAGACCGTCGACTTCACGCAATAATTCTAGATTATCTCTATTATCATCTTTGTAGTCATCGTTTTGATTGTTCCTGTCTCTTCCACATCTATTTCCTGCGCATCGTAACTCACTTACAAAGTTTCCATCGTCAGCAATGTTTTTCTCTAAATCATTTAGGAAAGCGACTATGTCTTTATTATTTTTTTCGTTTTCTCTTGCTTTGTACACTTTCAAATTATTAGAATCAAGTGATACGAGGAGTAAGCGATCTAGCACATCGTTTGCATCAGATTTGTGCTGTAATTTATCACCGTTATTTTGAAAATCATTGTTAAGAACTTCTAAGTTGTTGTAGGGCCGACGGTTATAGGTCTCCTCTTCGACAGAATCGTAGTACTGGGTAGCATATTGATTTCCTTTTTTGTTGTAGTTGCCACGATGTTTGCCGTCGTTGGATAAACGAGCCGTGTCTTCATGATGGTTCTTGGGCCCATCATCGTGATGACTTTGTGCAATATCGTATTTACCTTGATTGGTTAAAAGCTGCAGTATTTTTTGGAGTCCAAATTCACTTGTTACGTAAGCTTTTGGGTCGTCTGCTGCCAGTTTTGCGTTTACGACAGTGATTATTCCAAATATAATGAAGTATGAGATCTTAGCAGCCATTGTTGATTTAAATATTCTATTGTAACATAATATTTCCTACTAAAGTTTATAATTATTGTAAACTCTCAATGGGTTTCGGTAATAGCGAATTATAATTGATTGGGCAGCTAGCTGAAGGTATCGATAGAGGCGATTAATTGAGCGTGAGATTAAAAACCTCTTAAATATTGTGTTACTGTGAGCTGGAATGAGTTTTGTTCGGTTTTAACTGGTTGCGTGTAAACATTGTACCTACACTTGTCATTATACTTACTACCTTTGTAGATATATGTATTTATAATGTCAATTTAAATTAAGAATACTTTCAATATTATTCTACGGATCTAACTGGAATTTCCTTTGTAATAGACGATCTATTTCGTTCATCGCAGAAACTTTTTGTTAATTTCTTTTAACTTATGATTTGCACTGTTTTATAAAATAGGCGTTTTATCAAGTTTCGTGAAATAGTATCATCATTACATTATTTTTATATCGGTCATCTCCAGAAGCGGATTAAAGAAAGAGAGCGCACTATTCAAGCACCTCAAAAGCGCCCTTATTTTGCCGTCACTCTATATGCAGGCGCATCTGGCGGCGTCACGGCGCCCCTGTTTAACCTGGCGCTCTAGGCACGGCTCTAGTCATTTGAGTTGATTTAAGTCTAGATATGGTCGTGGTGGCCCGGAGGTTTATCCCCGAGCCCGCATCTCATGTATGAGGGTGCGGATTCGAAACCTACCAACGGCAAGTACCAATGTGACTTTTTCAGAGTTATATGTACTTTCTATGTATTTTCTAAGAGATTATCTAGACACCACTGACAAATGGTGAAGGAAAACATCGTGAGGAAACCTCGGCTTATAATTTCTAATTATAAGTTTGTTATCGCCAACCCGCATTGAGCAAGCGTAGTGATTATTGCTCAAACCTTCTCAGTGTGAGAAGAGGCTTTGCTCAGCAGTGGGTATTTATAGGCTGTTGATGAAGTCTAGATATATGGTGTTGATCATAAACTATGATGTTATTCGCTCATCAATAAGGTAGATTTACCTATTATTGGACATTCTTAGGAGATTTTCTTGAAACCTTCTTAAAAAAAATTGCTAAGATAATCACTATTCGTGCGAAACCTGCGTATAATACTTAATTAAAACACATCGATTAAATTTCAATTCATAATACGATTATAATTATAAAGAAATATACTCAAATGCTAATTATGGTTATAGCTAATCACGTTGAACATAGTTTTACATAACATATCATCACGCATTTTATTCCCGAAGGGGTAGGCAGAGGTGCACACAGAAGTAACACCCACTTTTCACGATTTATATTATGAGTCCTTTGTAATAGGGGGTGAGCCTATTGCCATATACCGGACACATTTCCGTATTCCGTGGTACTACTGAGATTTTTTAAAACCCCGTAATATACATATAGTTTTAATCAACTGTAATTAGATAATATTGGTACTAAGTAGGACACAGAAAGGATGATGAGCAAATCCTTACTAATATTATATATGGGAAAGTGAGTTTGTTTGTTTGTTCCACTTTCACGCCGTAACTACTAAACCGATTGCTTTGAATTTTTGCAGACGTAAAGTTAAAAGTCCGGATTAAATAATAGGGTACTTTTTAATCTTTTTAAATTTGATATTCCCGAGGGAAAACACAAGTATTGGTATAGATGGCGCTGTGTGTATTGATATATGTCACATAGGCTACTTTTTATCCTTTTGTGACGCGAGCGAAGCCGCGGGTAAAAGCTAGTATGTATATACATGTCCCACACACGTCCGCCACAGATTAGACTACTGCTGTTTGGAAGCTATCACAGCCGTGGTACATTGTGCCTAAGATCATTAAATTTTGCCCCGAGGTCGATACGGCCCATTCGCTTTCGCAAGGCATGGCTCTTCTATACTTCTTCAAGTATGATACAATTTGCGATACCGCATGGTTAACATCTCTGAATTCATTGATGCCACGTAGACCACCAGTGACCCACGTAGTAGTGTGGTAGTCAACATAATTCTTACATAACATAACATCACGCCTTTTATCCCTGAAGGTGTAGGCAGAGGTGCACATTATGCCACTGTACAATGTAACACCCACAATAGAATTGAATGAGAATTTTTTAAAAACCCAGTAATACTTTGCCCGACCCTTGAATCGAACCCGAGACCCCTTGCCCGGCAGTCGCACTTGCGACCACTCGGCCAACGAGGCAGTCTGTCAGTCAGTCAATTAATTCTTAATGTTTTGTTAATGTCGTGGTGACCTGGAGGTTGACGCCCGCGTCTCATGCTTTTTCCGAGTTATATGTACGTTCTAAGATTATTTAGACACCACTGACAAACGGTGAAGGAAAACATTGTGTGGAAACTTGGGCTTATAATTCTTAATTATAAGTTTGAAATCGCCAAACCCGGATTGAGCAGGCGTAGTGATTAGAACTCAAACCTTCGCCGTGTAAGAAGAGGCTTGTGGTCAGCAGTGGCCACTTATAGGCTGTTGATGTGATGTGAATGTTTTGTAATATAACTACACTTGTACTGAAATTAACTGTTGATATACTTAATTTGTTTATGGAATAGGAGGCAAACGAGCAGACGGATCACCTGATGGCAAGCGATCAGCGCTGCCCGTGGACACACGAAACACCAGAGGATTCCCAGATGCGTTACCGGCCTTAATCTATATACCTCTATAATTCTTTTATAGAGGTATATAGATTAAGGCGTGTTAGTTACACCACTTATAACTCAAGTACGGCAGAATAGATTTGGCTGAAAATTGGTAGGGAGGTAGCTTAGAGCCAGGAGACCGACATAGGATACTTTTTAACCAATACTTTTTTTTTACTTTTTACCGAAAATCACGAACGGAGACGGGGAAAAATGGGATTACGCGTACGAAGTCGCGGGCAGAAGCTAGTATCTGAATAAAACAAACTATATTCTTACATTGGATATATGTATATCTTCTAGGCTTCATAGGTACCAAAATATTTTATCTTGTCGGCAAGTTTCTCATACTCAGTAATCTTACTATCAACACCAATTAACAATCTAATTATATTGTCAATATCATCGTGAATATTTGGTTTTCTATGCCTCTTGAATTCCTGGTCATCATAGTAGTAGCCATCGCATTCGTCGTCTGCTGCACTCGGCTTTGGAGTATTACATTCCGTATTCGGACATGTGTACTTCTTGGGTTTCTTACGACACATTCTAAGCTTTGGTTTAGACATTTCATTGTCTGGGGGAAACATTTTAGAAGGAACCTTCCCAGAATTTGACATGCCTATCAACATGTCGAATGCTTGTAAAGCGCTAGTTACCTTTTTATTACTATCAGCTAGTACTCGATCTTGTGTTCTTTTAGTATTTTCTTGGTAATTGTTTATATTATTATTGTCAATGTGTTTGAAGTTGGGTTCATATTTAGTTCGTTGCTTTGATAGTGTTTGTACCAATGTTCTCAATCCGTTCTCGTATGAATTGTAGGCGCCGTATGACAGGGTTAATGTTGCAAGCACGTAACACAAGATGGTCGGTCCCATCTCGAACTTCTTGTAAAGATATTACTGTCCAGTATCCATGCTTGATTTAATGCGTTTAAAGAAGTTAATCAAATTTTCTGACTAAAATTATCTTTGGGGAATATAATTGATTATCTCCGACTCAACGTTGTTAATATGAATTTATTATGAGGTGGAGATTTGAATTGGAAAACATTTAATGATGAAATATTTGCGCAGTATAATTGGTATGGCCGCGACATTAAATCGACTCCGTCCGAGACTCATTTACAACTTATTTTTTTAACTTCAATTTTTTTGAAATAATCATCTATCTCCTGCCCCTTGGTTGACTATGTTTTCAATGGCGTAAAATTGTGAATCAAAAATCTGCAAAGAAAACTGTGGCCTAAATCTTAACTAGATCAGGCTGAATGTGTAGATGGAGCGAAGTATTCGTCTTAAAAAGTAATTGTTACCTACCGGTAAATTCGGTTTTGGCTCTAAAACTCGGAACTTTTGTAGCTTCCTTACTAGTCCTTACTATTTTCATATATACCTAGTAAAGATAGTTGGGTACAAATAGACATATTTAACCATAAAATCGTTCCGTTTAGACGAGAAAGACAAACAGACTTTCATTAAGAACATAAGTAGGTAGGTATTATGGCAGGTAGGTAGCTGTCAAACTTCAAAAGTTATGTAAAGTAATCATGGCCAAATAATACAAAATGATTGTATCGTCCTGGTAAATAATCTGTAAACATGACACTTTTACAGTCAAGCTGGTTTCATTCGACAAAATAATACACATTGTTTTAAGTAATAAAATAAAAATGTTTTATTTGATTTTGGTATCTTATGTATGTATGCATTATGCACCTGTTGACAAAATGATAGCAACTTAGCTATCATCTTCGGCCAATTCTGTTTTATGAGCAGCGGACATATTCCTCAGCAGTGCCGTCTTTATTTGCAATCGGGACACCAAGTTTTTCATACCTTGTAAACTTATTATCAACTCGAGTGAACAGTCGAAGTATTTCGTTTATACCATCGTGTTTGGGGTGTCTCATCCTCTTGAACTCCTTGCCATCATAGTAATGTCCATCACAATCATCCGCTTTACCATTAGGTCTCTTTGTAGTGAATTCAGCGGGCTTACACTTATACTCTTTGGGTTTCTTACGACCCATTTTAAGGTTTGGTTTAGGCATTACATTGTTTAGAGTAAAAACTCTTAAAGGAACCCTTTCCACTCCTGTCACCAGATTAAATGCTTGTAACCGATTTGTTACCTTGGTCTCCTTAAAATCATCAGTTGTAATTTCATTCTCCTGTTCAATGTAATTGTCCTCTGGGTTTGTTCTTTGGTGCTTTTTTGATTTGACATTATGGTTTATGTTTTTAAAGTTGAGGCCATATTTAGTTCGTTGTTTTGATAGTGTTGGTATCAATGTTTTTATTCTTTCCTCGTAGTAGTCGTGGAAGCTGGATGTCAGGGTTAATGTGGATAGTACGTAACACAAGATTGTTGGCCCCATCGTTGTGTGCTTATGCAAATTTTTCTTTTAAGTACTGTCCATGCTTGATTATCATCTATTACGTAAAGGTAATCGAATTATCTAGCTATCTCATTGACATTATAATTGATTGTCTTCGCTGTTAATTTACATGATTATAGTTAGATATAAAATTGGTTATCACATGGAGATTTCAATTAGAAAAAATTGATAATTTAAAACTTACAATAATCGAAATGGATAAGAAAAGTCTTAAGACCCCAACTCTACCCGATTTAGAATTTCAGAATAAAGGAAATCGGCTTTACAGACCTCAAAATAAATAATACCCAATGAAATGAAAAAAATAAAATAAAATATATATATTTTTTGTAAATAGCTTACAAGACAGCGCTATCACAAGTCAAGAGTTTAGAATTTTTAGGTTTTGGTCGGGTAGGGCGACAAAGATTTTCATTTTAGAAACTTTTGCTCTATCGCAATCTCATCTTGTTACTACTATACTCTGGACTTTTTTTAGGGTTTCAAGGTTATTGATATGCTTATCCACTTTTTGTTACACAAATTATATTTTATTAATAAAGAATTTGCTTTTGGTCGTCGTCTTTATCTGTCTGGGTCGCAGCCACCAGATTCAGCAGATCTTTATTTTACATAGAAGGAAATATTCCTCTTTATGGGAATTTTGTAGTCTTTAGAGTTCTACTTGTAACCAAATCAATAAAATATTTTTAATTTAAAACATTTTAATAGGTTGATATTCAATATTACATATCTGACTTAAAACAAAATGCCAATTTTAGTAACTTAGAACTACAGTTAGGAATAACTTTATTGAACTTGGATTACTCGGACTTTAAGTGACTCATTATTTTTTTAACTTCTTTCATAATCTTCTTTCTTTCCTTCAATAGCATTTGCACGTCTTCATCTTCTAATAGAGTATTTGCTCTCAAGTTTTTAGCTAGTACATTTGTTAGAAGCGTATCCACGTCACCAAGTAATTCGTCGTCTTTTAAAGCGTTTAACTGATTGGAGTCATCTTCGTTATCGTTTCTGGCCGGCTGCATCTGTTTTCAGAACAACGAACAGCTTTTATGTCGTAATTTTCATCATCTGTGTCCCTATTGCATCTGTTGCCATTGCATCGTAAACCTTCCAATTTTATTCTATCAACAATATCGCCATCATCAACATCTCTATCTCGCGCGCATCTGTTACCAATACAGCGCAAGCCGTTGCTATCATCAGTGTAAGTACACAAATTTCCCCTGCAACGTAAATTATTTAATCCTAGTTCCGAAATTGTAAGAGCAACCTTCGAATCCATACGAGTGTCATCATCATCGGTGAACTCATTATCATCATAGTCGTCACTATCACTATGAGAATCAGTATTAGAATCAGAATCAGAATCAGTATCAGTATCAGAATCAGAATTAGAATCAGAATCAGAATCAGAATCAAATCAGAATCAGAATCAGAATCAGAATCAGAATCAAAATCAGAATCAGAATCAGTATCAGTATCAGAATCAGAATCCATATTGCGATTCCGACTACATTTATTTCCAACACAACGTAATGATTCGAGAAATCATCTGTCATGCATCTATCTCTGATACATCGCAAGCTATCAATGCTGTCTCTATCATTGTTGTCAAATTTGCTACATCTGTTTCCGATGCAACGTAGTATATTTGTTTCATATGCATCATTATTGACGCGGGGTAGTCTACTCCTGCTGCAGCTTGCTCCACTACAACGCAATATATTTTTATTTCCATCGGCACCGTCATATCTATTGTATTCATCATCGTCATTATAATATACGTCGTTTGCTCTTCTACTACATCTATCTCCTATACACCGAAGATGTTGGTTATAATTGGCGTTGTTTCGTTCATCGTTGTTATTAGAAGTATCCGTATTATCTCTGTTGTTGTCATTATTATTGTATTCAAGTTTATTATCATAGTCATTACCGACAGTTAAGCCCAGTTCCTTATCCAGTTTGTTTAGAAATTTCGCAACTTCGTCAGAGTTACCATTGAATGTTCTAACACTTGTTTCATTGCTGGGGGACCATATTAATTCTGTGCATGTGCCAAGTTTTTCATACAGTTTTTCTTTGAACCATTACCATCGTTCTTTTCCTCGGTTCTCATACCCAGTGATTTGCCAAAGTGGTAGAGAATATCGTAGAGACTTTTAATTTCAAGAGCTGGCTTATTATTATTTGGTTGCCTCTCATTATAACCCTGATTCGTATCTGCATGCCGATTTTGTCCATCGTAATTATTATGTATTCCTTTTGTTTGAGCGGATAAGATATTTGTGCAACATCTTCGTGGTGGTTTCCTGGCCGATCTTCGTGGTGACTGATCTTCACATTGTATTGCCTAGTTTGTTAAAATTTTGCACTAAATCTTTAAGATTATATTTAACTTCACTTCGGGTTAAATCTTTAAACAGTGGGCTCCCATTTACAAGTATTATTATACCGAAAAGAACAAAACATGGGATCTCAGACGCCATTGCTCACCGAATTAAAATGATAGCAGTTTGTTTGTATAGTTTGGTTACAGTAAGCAATTGATTAAGAAATTAGTTAAAGTTGATTAAAGTTTATAAAAGCATGAAATTGTACATTAAAGAAGTAACGGTATCCTGTAACTCGTCTCTGAAATTTTAATTATTAAACTTTTAATTATAAATTTATATGTTCATAACTTTATGAGTTCCTAATTGTTTACATGACACGAGAATCTATCTAGTTTGTTGATAGATTAGAATTTTTTACTATATCCATCTTTCAATTAACACAATATACGTAGGTACTTAGTCGTTGCATTTTAGTACAGCGTTCTAAACGAAATAAGTGAAACACAATTCAGATTCAAATTGTTGAAAGCTCTAGAATAAGTAGAAACCTTAACTCATGAGGTATAGCTGCTGACTCTCTAATACATAGACACAGTCGGCACTGAACAGTGAGCAATTGAGCATACAGAACTTGAGAGAACAGTGTACCTTTTGCGATTTCAGTCTTAGTTATAATTTTCAAAATAGTGGTATTGTGTTTTAAAGGAAGCATGTAGATAGACCATTATTTTACAACAAAGATCAAAGGCTTCTGATGCAAAGGGATACGGATTTATAATTAAAATAATAATACATCATATTTCTAAGTCTGAATCGTTTATTACTTTCAATCAAATTAGACCTAGTATTGCGTTTGCTACGAGAATATATAAACTATTGTATGTATGTACGTGAGCGAAGTTCGTAGTGTAGAAGGCTCAATTATATGACATCATGAACACCATGGCGGGTAGTATTTTGATTCAGAAAATCAAGCTCAGTGTTGTGCTGTTGAATAGGCTGTTGTCGTAGTTGATAGAAACCGACTGATAATTATAGTGATCTTCATGATGGCAGTAAATAATTGGCATAACTTTGTGAATGTTACAAGGACGAACCTTGTGACAGCAATCGTTTTATTTCTTTCACCAATCATATTTGTCGTTACGTTTTTCTATATCGTTCATATAAAATCAATGTTGTTTTTCTTGTTATTCAGTTGATTCTCTAAGACCATACTTTTAAGGGATTTACCTGGACTCAAATTATTAGTACGGGTGCTGTCGCCATATAACAAACGTTGTAAATCATCCGCGTCAAGAATAACAGCATCGACATTATCACTTAATTTTACACGTTTGGGCTGCCATTGCGTTTCATTGTTCTCGTTGTGTCTGGCGACAGAACAAGGTTTTCCACGACACCGCATGACATTGGTGTCGTCTCTGTTTCTACCACATCGATTTCCGGCACACCGCAGGTTGTCGCGGCCATCTTGGTCGTTATCATCCCTTATACTGCATCTATTTCCGTTACAGCGAAGCAATTCCTCACCATTTCTATTGCATTGGTTACAAGGTGCATCGTCTCTCGAGGTGCCGCATGCATTTCCAGCGCACCGCAGACTGTCTCCCTCGTCGCTGTCAGTACTGCACCTGTTTCCGGCACATCTTACCATTATGTATGCGTCATCGCTATCTCCGTCTCTGCCACACCTGTTGCCTGCACATCTCAATTCGATTTTCTCTTCATCGTTTCCAGCATTATCATTATTTAAGTATCCTAAAACACGGCTTTGGAGTTGCAGTAGTGGTAGATTTTTACACTTTGTTACATCAGTGCATCCTGGTGTTTTTCAATCAATATGTCGCCCTCTTGTGGTTGTGGCACCTTGTCTGCCTTTGTGTGTAAATTGTAAATACTCTGCACGTCATTAGGCGTTGGTTGGGACTCTTCGCTTTCATCTAATTCTGAGGCATCGTGCGGTGAGATGCGAGCCTTGTCCTCATGATGACTTTTAGGGCCGTCTTCGTGGTGACTGATTGCGATGTCGAATTTACCACTCTGTTGGGTCAATGCTTTCAGCAAACCCTCGATTCCATATAAGCTGTTGTCAACCGGCTTCCCGATGGTGCAAGATATTAGGCCGAATAGGAATACGAATGAGATCGCAACCGCCATTGCTCATAGTTCGCTTGATACCAAGCTATGTTTTACTCACAGTGCTAATGAAAGCAACGTCACGGTACCTTTAGATTATAAAGGAGTAAAATTGATTCCGAAACTAGTTTTAAAGATGGAACTATCAAAATATAATTCAGCGTGTGATTGGAAATTTGAAGTAAATGAAAGTGACGTGTGTGATGGTTTAACGAAGTTTAAAGGTAAGTAGTAACTAGAGTGTGATCATAAGCATATTGTATAAGCCCACTCTACAATGTAAACTAGTAATTGAACCAAGACAATGCCAGTATGAAGTGAATGTAAAAATGAATAAAAACGAAAAAAGGGTTATTTTAATTTGTTACTCCAGAGTCCAGTGTACACTAATGATTAGAATATCTACTTTGAAAGGTGCTAAAAAGTAGGTTAACTAGCTAAATGACAAAGCACAATATGACCAAAGGTTAATTTAAACAGTTTTCACAATCGGCGCCGCTCATGGGGTGTCCATGAGCATCCATGGAGTAGCGAGAAATATTAGGCTCTGTCCAAACTACATACAAACTCATAGCATCTTAACAGCTCCGTCACATCACAGTATAGATTGGACAGAATGGACTGAAAAGCACCTATTTCTGCAACATTTATGTTCAATTCTTGAATTAATATTTCTCTCTCTCTCTTTTATATCGGACACATTCCAGTAACAAGTGTTGGACATCTTCAATTACTCCGCATGTATCATAGTTCGGACTGCTTGTTTTCCTCATTAGGAAACCGAACTTGCTGAGAAGAATGTGTCCAGACCTAAATGTATGCGCAGTTTTCGTATTCCTTGTTCTCCTCCTCCTCGTCGTGTCTCGTATTCATTTGCTGACATTAGAATAAGTACGTCACTATATAATATATTACATTTTATAGGGAGCGGTGACGTAAGTAGCTAGCTCCTACTTTCGTTTTTATCTAGGTATTGTTTCCTTAATTGACAAAATTAAAAAATTCGTGTCTAATATTTTTTGCAATAAGTTGTTGACTTGACCACGACTATGACCCCCTCCTGCGCCAAAATTGGATCCGCAATTAATTACAAGTGCTTTGCCTTTTGGATTTGAGGTAATGAAACATTAAATAAAAAGATAGTGGTAGTTAAGTAATATATTGTATTTCATATATTGTATTAAAGACAAAATAATGAGTAACCATATATTTTTTGTATACTACATTTTATTAAGTTCCTGTACTAATCGTACTCTTAAGCACATTTTATCCATTTCATTAAGTCAGAACTCTATCAATACTTGTAAAGATGATGACTATGATTACAACAGTTTTTGTAATTTTTTAACCAAAGCGTTTCCATCTTTGGCCTGTTCTACGTAAACAATAGAATCACTATTATAGTTCTTGTTATTGTTGTTGCCCTTGTGTAGTCTCCCTACTTCAACATTATCTAGTACCTTACCTCTTTTTTCTTTCTTTTTATTAAAATTTAAATTAGATACTAGTCGCTCAAATGTGTCTGTGTCAAGCATTACTGCATCTGCGTTCTCACTTAATTGAATTATTTTTGGCATCCGTTGCTTTTGATGATTCTGATGATTATTACTATTGCGATCTGCATTTTGTACACCTGTAATTGGATCATCCTTTCCGAAATTCTTATCGAGTTCGCTCAGAAAATCTAAAACATTATTGATGTGGGCCTCAACTCGGTTTCTTTTAAGCAAGTGCTTTGTGTCCTTACACCTCGCTGATGAAGCACAATCTCTCAATTTGGTCCGCACTGGTACTAGAAGGTTGATGTTGGATAACGCCCCTTTCTGCATTGTCTGAATATTGTAAATACTCTGCAGGAGACTGGCAGCTGCTTTGTAATCGTCGTTATCATGTCGGTCGTTTTTTTGTACGTTCTCAGCGTGTGAAGTCATGCGAGTCTTGCCCTTATGTTGGCCCTTGGGATTGTCCTGGTGACTGAATTTGATCCCAAAGTTACCATTCTGATGGGCCAATCCTGCAAATAAGTCCACTATTCCGATTCCGTTTTGGCTGTCATCAGCCTGCTTCCCTCTGATGCAAGATATGAGCCCGAATATAAGTAAGTATGAGATCACAAGCGCCATTTCTTAGAGTTCGCTTAATACCATGCTCTGTTCTACACAAGAAGATAATGCAAGTAACTTCACGGTAACTTTACATTATAAGGAAGTATAATCGATTTTGAAATTAGTTCAAAAGATGGAACTATCAAGGTATAATGAATTTAAGGCATGTGATTGGTTTAAGGCAAATGACAATGACATGTGTGATGAGTTTAACGAAGTTAATTAGTTACTTTGATGTACGATCGAGGTACGAGCCTTCTTGTGTTGTTGCCATGTGGAAAGTACCTTAGAACGCACCGCTTTGTCTAAACATACTATCTTTTATAATAGTAAACAGCAGTAGCCTACAAACTTTCAACTACATCAAGAGGGTTTATGTTGTTCGTCCAGTATTGTGATTGGTCGGATTAGATCGTTCAACTGACTTAAAAAAAAAGGAGGAGGTTCTCCATTCGAATGTATTTTTTTGTTTTTGAACTTATTAGTTAGGTTAGGACTGCCTCGTTGGCCGAGTGGTCGCAAGTGCGACTGCCGGGCAAAGGGTCTCGGGTTCGATTCCCGGGTCGGGCAAAGTATTACTGGGTTTTTAAAAAATTCTCAGTAGTAGCACGGAGTCTGGAATTGTGCCCGGTATATGGCAATAGGCTCACCCCCTATTACATGGGACTCATAACATAAATAGTGAATAGTGGGTGTTACATTGTACAGTGGCATAATGTGCACCTCTGCCTACCTCTTCGGGGATAAAAGGCGTGATGTTATGTTAGTTAGTTAGTTAGGTGTTTTCATTAATCTTAAGTAGTTTAAAAAAGTAGAGTAAAGTTTAAAAAGTATTATGCCATTGAAACTGATTAGCGATTCGACAACTCTTTTTTTTATGGCATAAACCGGTAAACGAGCAGACTGATCACCTGATGGTAAGCAATCGGCGTCACCCATGGACACCTGGAACACCGGAGGCGTTCCAAGTGCGTAACCGGTTTTTTGGGGATTAGGAGTTTGAGGATCGATGGGGATTCAGAGATTGGGGAGATTGGGGAAGGGGAGGGTAATTGGGCCTTCGGTAACCTCACTCACACGACGAAACACAACACAAGCGTTGCTTCGCGTCGGTTTTCTGTGAGGCCGTGGTATCACTCCGGTCGAGCCGGTCCATTCGTGCCGAAGCATGGCTCTCCCACACAACTCCCAAAACAAACGCATTAGTAATAGTTCAATTTTTTATTTACAATAAGAAATACAAATGAATTTACAGCTTGGCAAAACAGAGTTAGGAAAAATTGAGGTAGCTCGACTCAACCGGTTTTGATATTTTTATCAAATTTAATAAGAGGAGGTAACATGTTCGGGTGATTGTTATTTTTTATGTTTTTTTTTTGCCCCACACTAGGATTTTCTCCTGTGTCGTGCGTGCGTTTATTCATGGGATATGGTCCGAAGTGGGTGATTCAGTCCAAGTCAATATTAATTCCAACTGTCACCGCGTCAAACTCTTTTTTGCCAAGCTGTACTTATTCCAAGGGAGGTTTCAGATATCCATCGACTTTCATCAGTATTGGGAAACCGTATTGCGATAACACGTATTGGTCAGCATTCCTTCTGAACCTCTTGTGAGCAGTGCGAGCAACATCACGGCGCCTTCGGTTAGGCGGTTCTACATTATGTTCAAAACCTTTCAAACTTTCAACAAAGTCTGATATCGTTCCGCCTTCATTGCTGTCCATTCTGTCGTCGTATGCAAAACCTCCATCAGATTTTCGCGTTAAGAATGTCTCTTCTATATTTGCTTCTGGATTTTTTTTCTTGAGTACATCGATATCCTGAGGTTGATCGACGTTGAGACTTCTTCTGAAGTCCTCGTCTGATTCTATGTCGTCATCATTGTCATCGATTAGGGGAGCATCTCGGAAGGCAGGGTGTGCTTGCATCATGCCTGTTAAGTCGAACCTGTCATTGGTATCAGTAAAGCTTACATCTGGCTTGAGGTCGAACTGCGCAAGGACGGTCGGAGTCAGGAGAATTATACCAATTAGATTTCCAATCTGGAAGGAAAATTTGAAGTTATTTACTAAGATTGTACTAAGTGTATGGGTATCTAGACAATAACGTGTTATAGTAGATTGTTTGCTGACGATAATCGTTTTAACAACGCCAGAACAATTTATTTAATTTACATTTATAGATATTATGAGATAATTAATATATACCTCTACAACTTAAAATATAAGTAATTTTAAACTAAAATATTTACACCGTTACGTTTTAGTCGTTTTTAGTTCTTCATCTTTAACCTTTTGAGCGCCAACGACACAAATACATGACAAAAAAGGGAAATCAGAAACACGAAATCAACAATTTGATTAATCTCTATTTTTTTCGTTGAAATTCACGCGGAATTTGTGGCTTGGCGTTGAGGGAAGGTTCATGTGTTTTTGGTCTAGCGTTCAAAAGGTTACCAGTGGTAGCACTTAGGTTAATTAGTGTGTCTGAATACCATTTTAAATGTTTTAAAAATATACATGTATTCATTATCAGTATCAACAATTACATCTTACCATTTCTATTGATTTTAATCCATCCCCCTTGCTATTGAATACAAACTGTGTTCATAGGCATTCACATTCAATTTTATGCATCTGATTTCAATTAATTTTTGAGATGACTTATTTAGTACCTGAAGTGTAGTTCTGTATAGTTTTCTAAGTTTAGTATTGAAGAGTATTTTGGTATTTTCCACTGAAATTCTTGTTCCTAAACTCGAAATAGCGATTTGGGTATCGTTCAAAGAACAGTCGAAGGAAATCAAACGGTAAAGGATAAAATTATTTAACCGGCTATTGTGTTAATCGTGTAGTCAGTTGGAGAAAAAGGAATCTCTATACTATGACATTCCTTGTTCACTAAAAGCAGTGGCTTATTAATAGATATGGGTCATTTAAGATTGATTTTTGTTATAGGCATCTGTGTTCTTGTCACATACTACGCGATTTGTGTTTATAAACTAACTCAGTACAAACAGAAATCATTAATATTAAATCAGATAAGTGTATAGTCAACAAGATTCATATGTTTGATTCCTTTATTGAAGTAAACTCGTTAAAATCACTATGAAATTGTTGTTAATTGATTTTGTAGGCATTTGATTGTTAATTCTCGATCTGGAATTTAGTTTATCTAGAAACAAAATTTGGTAGGTATTACTTTACGTAGTAAAATTATACATATGTTACACATTTAGGTAAGTGCTTAAACAATAAAAGTCGTATTACAAAACGTACCTAACGTTTAACACTAACGCACTCTGCAAACTCGCGGTTGGCGGTAAAAAAATGCAAATGGCCGCGATTCGTGACGTCACGTAGGTGCCGCATGGCGGCAAGCGCGTGTGCCCGCTTGATGGCGTTTTAATTACACGACATTGGTGTTTTATTGGCGAACACTGCTGATTTCCATGCTGATCGTACACTCAGAAAAATGTAATGCAAGAGGGAAATAGTTCAGATAAAATATGAGTCGGAGATTTGTAATGGCAGTTAGGTATGTCTTTGATTTGTGCTGTCGTTTGTTTTATAGAAAAGACAAATAGCGCAACGCCTTTTATTTGATAAATCATATTAATTTAATATTATTCCCTTCTTTTAATCCCTATGTAGTATCAGTAGTTTATTAACTTACTGAGAAGAGTAACAAGCGTAACAATAGTTAAGTTTAACTAGAGTAAACATTTTAATGTACCTAAATGTATTGATAGTATTGATACGGGCAGTTCTAACTTTTAACTGTTGTAAAGAAATGTGTTCCCTCAACTCACTAAGGCTATTTTACTAGGTATTTATTTATTCAAATCAATAATATAGATAGAAATTCATGAAATCCAAATCAGGCAGATAGAATATTCAGAAACAAATCGTTGTTTTCTTGTTACTCCTTTAATAACAAAACTTTCAATCAGCTTTCAACCCAAGCATGATGACAAATCGCTGTAAAAATATAGACTAGAAAAAAAAACTTCAATCTATTTTTAATGGCGACATAAAAAAGGCGGGAACCACAGACAATCGTAAACATGGAGTAAATAGTTTATGAGATATCGGTGATTTGTATCAGGTAGGGGGGACTTAAATATTATTTAGGGTTAGTTTTCGGAAAAAAAATTATACCTAATTAGGTAGCTATTGCCCTTATGCTGGAATACTGAAACATTACTCAATTTTAAGACATGCTTAAATATCATGCTGTCTCTGTCATTTTACAAAGAATTAGTAGAGACAGAACTATGCTTAAGCGCGACTTAAAATTGAGTAACGTTTCAGTATTCGGGCATTAGAAACATAAATTTGATGACTAGTTGACTGTCCTATAGGCACTTTGTTTAATCTAATGAAAAGATTAAAAGCTTTACAGAACAATATGTTCTATTAATACTGGGTTGAGCAGATATGCCAAGTAAATATCTCCAATAATATATTTACAGAATTAAAAGTTGTAGTATAAATGAACACGAGACTTGAAAAACCTGTGCAAAATACATTCACCACTCAATTAGTATGCAGACACAACAATGCCAAGACAGTACACGCAGATTTTTCCGAACCAAAACAGCGCCAACAGACTATTGACTTTTAAAATGTTTCTTGAACAAAACAATAGAAATATCGTATTTTAAAATGGTATAACAGGTCCAAAAACAGATCTTCATAAAAGTATGCATGGAAAACAATGGAAGTAAACTAGTTGGCAGCTGTGACAATAGTAGGATGGTAGCAGACGGGCACGAGCGCTCCGCACCGCGTCCGCAGAGCAACTGATCAAATATATTTTTTGAAATAACGTTCGATTCGCAACGGAACAGATGGACAGTCACTACGCTGTCTATGGACCAAGTCTTTTGTTATGCTAATCATGTTCAAGCGAATATTTTTGGTATTGTGTAAGATGATGGTGTCAGGAGGTTTCAAAATTGTGTGACGTCGAGGTAAGAAAGCTGGTAAAAATGCACCAGTTACTTTATGAATCCT